ATTTATTTTCAAATGTTTGTGAATCCTCTAGGATGGTTTAAAGGACTTGTCTTTAATTAAAAGTGCCATACACTTAGTAAAAATCCATGTTAGTTGAGAAATTGATTTTTTTTTTTTTTTAATTAATTTATTTTTTTTAAAGGAAAGCTGTGAGTTTTCTTGTATGGGGTAAATGTCACTCTGTTCATATCTTAGCTTTGCTGCAAGTCAGGACTTGTACTATTCCACCAGGTTGTCATAGAAACGTAGCTAACTGTCATCTCAACTCAGGCTGCTGATGGTTTTATTTGTAGGTTTGCAGGATTATTAAAATTTAACAAAAATTATTGATTTCCTTTTTATTAACGTTGGCTTGTGTTTACCTTAGAAGTTCAGGTTCCATAAGAGCTTTTCCTAGTAGAAAAATAGCTTAAAAATGCTAAACTTCAGTATAGTAAATGGACTTGATGTTTTCTCTCATTTAGAATGTAATATATAGTCTTTAGCAATAGAGTAATCTCGCGGTTTAAAAAATAATTTTTCATTTCCTTTGTTTACAGCAAGGGGCAAAAATTTCTCTCGAATTTGCCTTTACCCTAGTCTGTTACTTAACATATAAAAGATACCTGTCATAAAAGCATGAAATGGGTACATCATTGTGCTTAATAGTTGAAGTTTTTCATTTTTATTTACCGTTTCTTGAGGCCTGGCAGAATGCTTCAGTGCGCTGAGTTTTGAAAGTATATATTTTTGTATATGCATGTGCAAGAGAGATTTAGTTTTTCACTCATAAATAAGACAGGCAAAACTTATTTACAGTAACTTTATCTAATGGCCCGTGGATGAATGCTTTTATGCAAAATACTCAAGAGACTAGAATTAACTTTTCACATTGGTTGCACATTTGATGTCCAGACTTCAGCAACATGTGGAATTTTATTATAAACACTAGATGCCCAGAATTCAATTTTTGCTTTGCACATTTATTCCAGGATGCAGAGATTACCCATGCATTTCAAGTGTAAAATTTATAACAGTGATTGCAGGGATGTATTAATTGCAGCAAAATGTAACCCACCCCCCCCCCCCACACTTTTGCTTTTTCTTTGTTACAATTTTCTTCTGTTAAGCATGTAGAAGCAAGTAATTTGACTTTGTCATTCTGACTGGTTACAACTTTGTTCAGTGTTGGATTTACTGAATAAAATGTTTTTTGGTGGACGTTTTGACACTTTGCCTTAGACTACGACGTCATGGCTTGTTGATGTCCCTATATTAATCCCTTTCGTATTCTGCCACAAAACTCTCAAATAATAAATTTTTTTGAAATCCTTTTATTCTAGAATGTGCATGATAAGTTGATGGTATAAAATACTGAATTTCTACCATAATTTCATATATTTGTGTTTGTTTTGTGTAAAAGTATAGCATAAAATGGGTGATGATAACACATTGCAAATAATTGTATTGGTTTTTAATTCAGACGACAAGCCTTGTTTTTTCTGTTGTTTTTACTTCATGATAAGCTTGAATGTGTGTTGTTTTTTTTTTAAGCTATTTCTATTGGGAGTTTATGTAACCTTTAAAATAATTAGGTAAGGTAAATCGTATCTGTCTGGCTCATGCTTTATGTGTATTAATTAAATCTTGCGCACTTTTTTTTGAGGTAGGTGTTGGAATAACTTTGCCCATCAGTGGTGTAGAACATAGCAGCTGTTTTAACTGGGCACAGCAATGATATGTATCAGGGCGAGAAATAAAAAAGAATAGTATGTTTTATATGTACATGACATCTTCATGATACATTTTTTTTAATGGTATTTTTTATTGTAATTGGAAGTGTGGATATCATTATTTGCAGAAATACCTTTTTATAGAGGGGATCCATTGGTACATATAGGCTCAAATGACAATATTAAATATGAAATGTATCTGTTGGAAGTGTCTATTTTACTGAGAGAGGCTATTTTGTAACATATGAACACATGTAACCTGAGCAGTATACTGCACCTCAAGCATTCTTTTATGAGAGATCTGCAGCTGGATTCTCTCTCTAGCTTGCTTCCTTTGTTTCTTAGCTCTTTCTCCTTTCTGTTCACTTATGCCTTTTCCCTTTCCTTAGTTCTTAGTACTGACTGGATGACTTAGCCTGCTTAAAGCTAGGGACAGAAGTTATATATAAACTGGTTTAAGTGATCAGAAGCTGGTTTTAAGCCTGTAACAGAACAGAAGTTCAGTGCACATAAACCAATTTAAAAATGGTGGAAACTGGCTTAAGATAAACCTTGTTGAATGTAGCATCAGGCTTAACTGACTGAGGTCAAACCAGTTTATGGAACTTCTGTCCCAGACCCCTTCCTGGTTCAAGGTAAATCAGAGTCCTCCAGCATCACAGCATGCTCTGCAGCCCTGGGCTGGGCTGTGCTGTCTGCTCCAGAGAGCAGGGCTGGCCCCACTGCTTTGCTCTGTAGCCAGAGCAGGGATGGGGAGCGTGGCCAGATACCAGCTAGTGTAGCCCTCTAAGGTGAAGCAGGTAGGGATGGGGTTTATTTCTGCCTTCCTCCCCTTTCCCCCCAGGGTACTGCAGCCTGGGTCTGCCTGGCTGGGGCATAGCAGCCTCTATCAGGGTCCCCTTCCCCACCACCACTCCAGTGGCAGGGATGGGAGGTGTGGCCAGATGCCAACTGGCATGGCACCCTGAGGTGAAGGGGGCAGGGAGGGGGCTTATTCCACCCCCCTCTCCCGTGGGGAGACTGCAGCCAGGGTCTGCTAGCCTCAGCTGCTGTCTCTGGTGCTTGCCCCCATGCAAGCTGAGTGTCCCTATTAGGGGCTACTGCACCCCAACCAGGCAGACCCCACCTCGGGTTCCCCGAGGGGAGGGAATAAACTCCCTCCCTGCCCTCTTTGCCTTAGGGGGTCATGCTGGCTGGCATCTAGCTGGGAAGTGCAAGCCTCTTCCCACTGTGGGGGTTTAGAGGGGGCTGCACTGCAGGTGGGAGCAGGGTGGGCAGAGCCGTGGTCACAGGGTTGGGAGGGGTGGCTCTGGGGGCTAAGGTGAATTTTGGGGTAGCCATAACCCCCCCCCCCAAACCTCCATTAGCACCATCACTGCATATCCCCCGTAGCCACCCCCCCCAGCCCCTGTCCTGGGCAAGGTGGGTGGTTGGCGGGGCAGGTGTGGAGGGGCTGAGGGCAGGTGTGGAGGGGCTGGCCATGCTGCTGGGGCAGGGCCCTTCCAAGCCAGCTGTAGCTCGGGCTGGGGCCACAGGAGCTGTGCCCCCAGATTGCTCCTGGCTTTCTGCGCCCAGGTTGGACTGAGCTGTCACAGAGGGCTCTCCTCCTTCCTTGCTGCAGGGCTGAGGGATGCTCTGTGCAGTGCAGCCTCAGGGCTGGAGGGGTGCAGTGCTAGGCCCCCACTGGGGCACCAGGGGATACTACTGGCTGTTGTGGGGCAGGGAGAGAAAACTCTGTGCTCCCAGCTCCCTGTGCCCAGGCTGGGTTGGGCTGTCATGCAGCCGCTGTGGCGGGCTGGGCTCTCTACCTCGTCTTCCTCCGCCATGGGAACAAGGGGAGGGGACTCTGCAGCACTGCCTTGGGGCTCATGGCTGGAGGGATGCAGTGCTGGGCCCCACTGTGGGACGAGGGGGAAAACTGGCAGCAGGAAGCCCTTGGTAATTTTTTTCCCCAGCAGTACAGAGCCCTCCAGCAAGCATACCCTCTGCTCTTTAGAGTCTAGTGCTTCTACTGGAGGGTCTGGTCAAGTCTCGGGCAGGGGCTGAACTAGACATTGGAGGACTTCCTGGAGGTCCCTGCCACCCCCCCTTCCTTGTGGTTCTCCCTCCCTCCCCCCCCTCCCCCCCTGCACCTCAGGCCTAGGGCCAGGGTTTGGCCCTGCCCCTGCTCTCGCTGCTTAAGCCTTTCAGTCTGGTCACAATTCTTCCCCCCATCCCCACAAAAGCCTGGCAAGGGCTGCTTCCCCCGCCCTCCCTCTCTACCTCCAGGCACATCCCAGCGGTGCTTCTTGCAGGCCAGGGTTGGGGTTTAAACCTCTCCCCAATCATACTTGGGCCTTCTGGAGCCTGTTCCCACCCACAACTCTCTTCCCGCCCCTCCCCGATCAGCTTCCCTTGGCCACTGTAGAGAAGAGAGGGTTACTCTAATGCCCCCAGCTTCTGGCCTGAGCCACTGCAGGCATGTGCCTGAGTTTCCGGAATTGAAAGTGAATATCTGTTCACTTGCTTGCCAGTTCATTCTACGCAGGTTAGAGTAACCTGCAAAGATTGAATTGGTTCAGGCTTGGGCTTTTTTGAATGTCAGTACTTAGCTTAAAGGGGTAATGACAGGGTAGATTTGAGGCTCTAGAAGGGTTCTAGGTCACAGTTCATTCATATTAGCCGTATGGCATCCAGATCTCCCTTCACAGTTTGCAGCAGCATGTTTCTACTGGATTGTGTGTGGTTTTCTCTTTGGTTTTAACATAAAGCCATTGAGGCATTCTATACAATTAACATATTCCTAGCCGATATTTTTATTTTTATTTACAGCATTTTGTGTCTGTCCTTCCTACAGAGGTGCAGCATCTTGTAAAGGTCCTCAAGTTTCTTATAGCATGCATGCTTTGGCTCAGAGCTATAATTGGCTATAGCTGCATATCTTATTATATCATCACCACCTTTACCATATTCATATTTATATTTTTTTTCTTAATTGGGAATGACTAGCTTCCATTTTGCTAAGTACTCATGTACATTTCCCCCTGCTTGTCAACTAAGTGCCTCTGTATAGTATAATTGTATTGATTTATGTATTTACAGTATTTATTTGCATCCAGTACTCTGGTATGAATAACTGGAATGAAACATGGAAGTTTGGCTTTCAGTTGTAGTGGCTGTTGAGAGATCAAAAGGAACCATCTGTGGCTGTTGCTCTGTGATGGTCTATGGGAATTTTTAACCATTTTTTAAAATATAAATTTGAAGTTGTTAAAATAATCTTTCTCTCTTAATCTCTTAATAATGTAGGAAGATGAAAGTGAAGAAGAACCCAAGCTGAAATATGAAAGGCTTACTAATGGAGTGTCTGAAATTCTTCAGAAGGATGTAGCCAGTTGCATGACCGTGCATGAAAAGGTATTCTCTCACCTTGCAGGGCTGGGAAATTCAGACATTGTTTTGCTGATTTTTAAATATCTTTTTGTGCATATGTTCTTCCCTTTGACAATATGATCTCAGCTGCATTTTATTCAGTAAGGACCTTGGCATCTATTGTGCTTATTCGTTTTGAACAGTTCAACTGTACAAACTCGATCATGCTGGAGGTTGGTTTAGGGAGTGTTTATCTGTGGAAGACAAGTGAGGTATTGTTACTATCATGGAAAATAAAATAATTAAAATAAGCTTTTACAAATGAATTGTACTTGGTATGTATTCAGTTCAGGATCCTTCTCCCTCCCCTCCATCTAGTTTCTTTACTAAGAAAACATTGAAGTTTGATATGCGGGGTTGGGAAAAAAAGAATTTAGTCGTGAGAATAAAAGAACAGTTTTGTGAGATTAAGAAAAAAAAGGGACAGACAAAATGTCTTTAATATGCCAAAGATAAAGTACAGGATACTTGAAAGTCACACGTGCATGACTTTACAAAACACCTATTGTTTTTTATGTTAAAAAAACCTAATACTTATAGTATTCTTGTGTGCATTTTTTAGCACTTTTTGAAAGCTAGTAATGACTCCTTAACAGCTGCTGTTGTGGTATCTGTCTGTTAAATACTACATGCAGGGTTCAGAATATGCAGTTTATTTCTTTTACTCAAAGTACTATGGAGTTGCTCTGTTTATGATGGTTTAAGATCATACTTTTAATTTTAACATTTTTGTGATAGTACCGATGAAGACCACAAGTCTCTCTCACAAACCTTTAGACTTTCTTAAAATTAAACTGGCATTTGGAAAATTGGCCAAAACTGCTACTGATCCAACGACCTTTTTACATCCTGGCTAACAAATGAATAACGTTTATGTATATATGGAAGTGCACAGGTACACCTTTAAGTATAGCAGCACAAAAAGTGACACCACAGTAGAGCTGTTTTAACTATCCAAACACTTCTAGTCTTCTAGCAAACTAGATACACTATTTATGAGAAGGATCAATATTGTTCGAAGCTAGGGTATTGGGGTCTTTTAGGAATAGGTGTCTTACAATAGAAAGCTTAAAAATAAACATGGATGGTAGGTTTTGTTTTTGAATCATACTCTAGAAAAGAGTCAACCTGAATAAAATTACTGCCCTATTGCACATGTATCTCTGATTTAATGCAATTTGGCTTTGTTGGAAGTACCAAAGTCTGGTTTCTTCTATTCAGACTAATTTCTCCCCAGAATTATTTTTTTCTTTCAATGCTAAAGCATCATATTTTCACCAGGCTCGCTGTCTGCACTGGATGACTAATCGTCATGGCACCTGGTGCATTCAAGCAGGCCTGTGCAGTGGAATAGTCATACCTAGTTATGTCTGCACACCTGATGTTTTATTAACCAGTATTGATTTTTTTACCCGGGGGACTTTTTTCTTCCTGAAAAAAGGCAACCTTGCAGGAGTGAAAGGCATTGCAGGGGATGAATTTCTAATGAACCCCTTCTTTCCCTTTTTTGACTCCTCTTTAATGTAGCTTCATATTTTAAGTGCCTGAACTGAAATTTCATTTTAAGCAATTCCATTTTGATAAATCCTTTTAAACCTTGACTTTCTATAAGGTTATTTTTTAAAGATTGTGCTGCTTGACTGACACGCTTAGTAGTGCCTGTAAATTTGAGCATTTCATTATAGGTTGCAATGAAGCATGCTTACATGCAGTGAAATACAGAGAATTTAGGAGCCCATACTATTTGAGTAATGCCAAAAGAAAGAGAAAAAATCTCTCTGTCATCTGTCAAATAGTACTGAAGTTTCTCCTGCTTTGTTTAGGGCTAGTTCACACAGTTCAATTAACAGTGGGTCTCAAAGTTACTAGATAAACATGTTAAGATTTAAAAAAAAATGTAGGTTATCGTTTGACACAGGAAAATTTCATTTATTTTGTGGATGTACCCAGTGTTAATTGTAGAAGTGTTACCTAAGGAAAGTAAACTCAGCTGGATGATAGGTACATTTAAACAAAGCTTAGACTACCTTTTCACATTACATATGTGTACTACTGGCCTAACCAAATAGTGGTATTTTTGTGTGTTAAATATTTCTTTGAATGGCAAAGGAGAGTTAAAACCAAAACTATAACTAATTCCTTAATCACTTCCATGGCTTTGTTTTCAAGTGTATGTTAGTCCCTGCTTTCACACTGCATTTTTAATTTGCTGCCACAGTCCATCAGGCAGTGTATACAGACTGCAGACACACCATTAGTTGTCAGTAGATGAGGGTCCTCATGACTCATTCTGACAGCTAACTTGCACTATCACAATAATATGGGCTTCAAGCCCTGTTTTATTCTTCAGGAACAGCTACAATAAGCTTTGTCCATGGAATATTTTCTTTTAGGGCACCTTTAATCATTAATCTGCTAAACATCTTAAAGATCTTTAGCTGCTTGTACTCGTAATGTTGTATTTATTTAATCTGCCTCCCTCTCTCTCTCTCTCTCTCTCTCTCTCTCTCTCGCTCTCTCTCCAGTTTTTAGCCCTGGGAACACATTATGGCAAGGTTTATTTACTTGACGTCCAGGGAAACATCACCCAAAAGTTTGACGTTGTAAGTACAACATAATTTAGAACAAGTCTACTGGGACATAAAATATTGTGCTGTGCTTGCAAGTAAATAAAGATATGGCTCTCAGTACACCTGCAATTTTATAAATGCATTTCAGAAATTCCTAATCTAAGAGTATATGGACACAGCCTGGAATAAGACAGTACAACCAAGTGTCTCGTGTGAATACACCTCAGATTACAAACACTATATACTGATCATGACTACAGAAAAATACATATTTATTGCAAATAATTATTGTTAATTACCCACTTGAAAGGTTCATGATTCCCATAAGGTATGAGCCTGCTCATTAGCAGACTATTGTTGATTGTTAGTATGTGCACTATCATCTTATCGAGATGCCAAAAGTAATTGAAAATTGATTGATTGTCTTGCTAGTTCAGTTTATCTACTGCAAATATATAAAGCTAATATTTTATGTGAATGTTTTGAAGCTTGAACTCTTAAGGGATTGTATTGATTGAGGAGAAGAGGCAGACTTTTTTTTTTTTATTGTGGTTCCTAGATTCAGAGGACGAGTGAAGTAATGAACTTAAACCTTTTTTTTTTTTTTTTTAGTCTTAAATCCGTTTTTTTAAAGTATAGAGATTTAGTGAATTTCTGTTTGGTACTGGAGAGGGAGGGAAGGAGGAGGAAATTAGCCAAGTTTGGTTTTTTTCCCCCTAGCAAATTTCAGTGGGCAGAGATCGTGTTTTTTCATAGCAACATCAGCACTTGTCAAAGTATCCATCACACCATGTTGACATGTTTGCAAAATAGAACATGTGTTCTGAAGCTGACACAGCTAGCTGCATGTGAAAGGTCGAAGGTTATATTTTTATTTTTGAAAAATCTAATTATACAATTGTTGCAAAAAAAAAAAAAAAAAGCCAACCTCCTAGAAACAACCTTTGAAGGAAATTTTATATACTGTAGTGGTCAGATTGACAGTGACCTTACTGGGTATTAGTAAAAGTCAAGTTAATGGTGTTCTATTTCTTTTAACTTTTGTATGCTCAATCAGCCCAACAGGGTACAAACTGAGTGCATTTCAAGAGAAGAAAGTCTTTGACTGGTGGCTGCTTTCCATATTCTGATTACTTTGCACATGTGCCATTTGCTTAAAACACCATACTCTTTTCATGCCAGTCTGATTTATTTCAAAATATTAGATTAAAATTAGAATGTGTGTAGCAGAAAATAGTTTAATCTCTAATTTATGCTTGAGGGATTGTTCCCAAACTCATCAAAGTCAACTACTCCCTCTTTCCTCCCTCCAGTGGAATTGGACTTTAAATGCATCTGCCTTGGAGTTCATGCATATACCCTACAGATGGACTCTCAGGGTGTTAGGTAATTGGAAAGCTTTTTTTTTGACCTTACAATCAATGATCACTAAGATCCCAATTCTACAAGTTGACCACGTTGCCTGTAAAAAGTATTGTTGTTTTTTTTAATTAATCGCTGCCTGGGCATAAAACCTGAACAGATCCCATTATAGGGTCAGAGCAGAAGAGGGAAGTGTCTTGTCTAAAAGGAAACAATGAGGCAACAACACTCCTTTTTGATGGATGGCTGGATAAGTGTATTTTATAACATTGAGTGCTACCAATAGCTACTGTTCTGTGCTTAAAATAAAGTTAAGGTGGGTTTATATAAGTGTTTTCAAAAGCCTGTTTTCACTTGCTGATAAGCCTTCTAAATGTTTGCCCTGCTGAGCTAGTTTTCCAGGCTTTGTCTCTCTCTCTTTCGGTAAAGAAAACTCTAAACAAATTTGCTCCAAAATAAATAAATACAAGGTTGAAAGAAGAAGAGGAGGAAGACCTTTTTTTCCTGCCCACTGTTATCAAACTTGTAGGTTTACAAATAGAGCTTTGGTAGCCATCAACGAGTCTAAAACAAAGAACTTGCTTGCCTGTGAAACGCAGCAATGGTGAAGTGCCCCTTCTGGGCTTAAATGTAGAAGTTTGAATGCTGTTCTGTGAGACGGGGAGAGTCACCTTATTCTTTAGCCACTGGAGGTTAGTTGTCTTCCCCAACCTGTTTTTTACCATGCCATAATCAGTTGCCTGGCCTGAACAGTTTCTGAAGTTGTTAGATTATTGAATGGAGATCTTGCTTCATAACGCAGGAGAAGTGTGTTACATATAGCTTTCCTTTCTCTTTGAGTTTTTTCCCTTGGAAACTTCAGCACAAGGTTGTGAGTTTGTGAAGATTAAAAAACAGAACAAGGCTCCTCCCTCACAACAAAAGGGAGAGTTGCCACAGGACCTTGGTTAAACCTTTCAGAGGCCAGACACTGTCAAGAGCATGCAGTAAACAAGCGGTTAGAAAAAAGGAAACATATATTTAAAGAAATCTTAGATGTTGCTTGTGATGTTAGTAGGTAAATGTAATAGATGGTAAAGATGCTTGATTTAGACATAAGATTATTTATTTTCAGGGCTAACAGAATTCTGTCCCTTTTTATGAGTTACAGGGTAGCCAAGAACAGGAACATCCATTCCTCATTTGAGACCTGGGCTAAGGGACGTTGCCATATAAACTTCTCCAGAAACTGACACACTAACTGATGTAATTGTTGTACAACAGAAATGAAAAGCTTCCTTGTTGCTTCCCATGTTTTCCTTTTATTTTCTGTTTTTCCACTCTGCTTGTTCGTTCTCTCCCTCCTAACCTTGGGTACATCCCTACAAACATGTGGCTGTGTTGCAATAATTTGCTTATGACTGTCTACCCGGTATTGATTTGAAATTGTTCTTGAGCTAAAATGCAAACCAGCAGCATTTCCTAACATTAGGTTCTCTCATAATTGCTAGCGTTGGCTTCAGTTCTGCAAAGACTTACTCAAGGTGATTAACTATATTCTGTGACTGGTTTCAATGGAAGTCAGTAGCACTCTTTTCAGGGTTGGGGTGTGTGTACATTGGGCAGAGTGGGGTTTATGCATCATCTTTCTGAAGCATTTGATACAGACTGCTGGACCAGTTAGCTCACTGGTCTGTTCAAGTAGCAATTCCTGTGTTTCCAGGAAGAGGAGTACAGAGACTTTTTTCTAAACCCTAGGAAGAGTTTTGCAGGTTTTCAGTTTGGAGACAATTGCATGGGATTTGGTGAGGTCCTGCATGTTGGTGACATTGCAACTGCCATCTCAATATCCTGGTCTGATCTCTCCTTGTCACTTAGGTTCCCTTTGCTGTCACCAGCATGGCTGTCTTTGTCACTGTCAGCCACCTAAGATTAACTGATACTCATCTTCAAATCACGTGCCGTTGACAAACTGGTGTTCTTTTGTATTAGGGTTCAGTGCATTGAGTGAGATGAAATGTGTCAAATGTGTTAAATTATGACTAAAAGGCAGCAAAAAAAAGCCTACTATACTGACAAAGGATGATGCAGAAGCGATTTACAGCATGTTAATTCCAAATGCCTATACATCTCTTTCCTCTTAGACTGGCTACAATTTATTAATGTAATTATTGCCTCAACTGGCATCTTGTGGATTAAGGACTTGTAGATTTGAGGAAAGCTGTACAAACACATTTAGTTAAGTAACAAATCAAAAACCTGTTCAGAGGGTAAGAAAGCCTGCCCTTATTTCCAGGTGTTTTAATAAGCATGATGTTTTAAACAAATATAGTACCAGTGTTGGCCAGTGCCTGTGAAATCCTGCACTTGGCTTAGAAAGGGGGAAATAGTCTGTTTTAGAAGTAGGGTTTTTTAATATTTAATTGTTCAGCAGTGATGTATAAGTGCAGAAAACAAATTTAGGTAGCTAATGTTTTAAAGTACTCCTTTTTTTTTTGGTAGGGAGAAATCGAATAATTTGTTAGCATGTCACACTTCTGAGGGCATTCAAGACCTGGAAGAATTTTTGAAGAAGCATTAAATATTTAGGAGTTACCTCCTTACTTGCAGAATTTTTAAAACATGTTTTGCAAACTTCTCGGGCCTAAACATTTTTTTTTTTTTTTAATATTTGATGTCTCAAAGTTAAAATAATTTTGTGAATGTGGCTGGCAGAGAGAACAGTCACCAGATTCTCCCTTGCTAACATGGATGTTCAAAGGTGACTTGGTTTTTAGCTGTGGAATGATTGTACTTAGACCTTTTAAAGGTCTGGGATATTTCTTAGTTTGGGGCCAGTTGTCTTGCCTACCTCAAGGAAGGTATAGGCAGGAAACCTGGTGTATCAACAGGTTGAAGTCAATGCTGCCAAGGCTCATTCAAGGCTTGAAATACCTTTGAAAGGACTTTCTTCAAATAGAGATTACAAGTTTTATACTGAAGTAGCTCTTCTGTATCAGATAGTATGACTAGGGAGGAGCTGGAACCTAGCTAATTGTTGCAAGTGAAATCATACAGCATTCTTTGACCAAGATAACTCTTAGCAGTTGATTGTATAGTAAAGATGCTACTTTGAATGAAACTTTTGTATCATCGTAGTCTAAACTCTCACACAGTGTCACTTGTTTTGATAGGCTACTTAAAATTCTCTGTTTAACTTTAACTACATCATTTTAGTTGTCACTGTCTGACTGCAGAAAAAGATTTATCAGTGAAAGGAAACAGAACAGAATTTAGAGTAAAGATCTGGGCAGAGCAGTAGTATGATTTGGGGCGCTAGGATGGTGTTGACAAATACTGAATTGATGTGCAATCTGAGCCAATTTCTGACTCTTGTAGAAGGCCAGCCAGTTCTCTGGCTGCTTTGTCATACATAAGGCTGGAGATGCATGTATCCACTTCATGATTCCTTCCAGAAAAGAAGTTTTGCTTTATATGGCTCAGGGAAATGAAGAAAAATATTGTAGTTTAAACAAGATTTAAGTCCTCTGCCCATATTTCAACTGCCCATGAAATACTCAGCTTTATTTCCTTTCTAATTAGTTCTCTGATGCCAGTAGTGAAATTTTAGTTGAATTATATGGTTTATAACTGGCTCTTCCACTCTCTTCAATGTAGGACTCAACATTTTATTCTTTTGGACTTTGGTCTTC